AAAGGCTCCTTCTCTCCCTCCCCCCCCTCCCCTTCATTGACTTAATAGTAACCGTAACATTACTATCATCGTAACCAACATATACTTCTTCTCCTTATCATCCCCCCTCTCTTTCGTACACAGGCCCCTTCTCCTCCATCAACTTCTTCTCCTTATACCCCCCACCCCCCCTACCAAGGCTCCTCCTCCCATATGCTTCTTCACCTTCAATAACCTCCCCCTCCTACATAGTCTAAATTGGCTCCTCCTTCCATTAGCCCAGCCCCCCTCCCCTCCCCTCCACATCTATTATTATCATCGTAACCGATTTTATCTTAATATATTTTGTTCACAGTATTGTAGAGATGATCCAAGAGACAATCTACAAACCAGTGGAGGAAATAATCTATTAAATCAGATGGCGGTGGCTGCCACCAACACCTTGATGTCAGCCGCCTTACAGGTATATTAACAAATATACACATATATCTTTACAATTTTTTTCCCTAAGCAATCATGTGTCCTGAAGATCTAGAAATGTTTAAAACATAAATATCAATAACTCTTCCATCTGATCGTTAGTACTTTGTAATACATTATGATCTATACTAATATAGTATATTTGTTTTGTTCAGAGATATGGTCTAGGTCAATCAGCACCAGCGTTTGGGATTTCGTTACGGTATGATCGAGCACAGGTACCAGTTAACTTTTTAATCTTTATCAAAAGTGAAACGAGAAAAGTATTATGATTTCACGTCTTTCTTCAGCACAATAAGATAAAGAACTGTATGTATAACTTCATTTCATTATCTCATTAAGAAACAGAACAGTAGGATATAAAACTCTATTTCATTTCATTAATCCAATAAGATACAGAACAGTAGGATATAAAACTCTATTTCATTTCATTAATCCAATAAGATACAGAACAGTAGGATATAAAACTCTATTTCATTTCATTAATCCAATAAGATACAGAACAGTAGGATATAAAACTTCATTTCATTTCATTAGTCCAATAAGATACAGAACAGTAGGATATAAAACTCTATTTCATTTCATTAGTCCAATAAGATACAGAACAGTAGGATATAAAACTCTATTTCATTTCATTAGTCCAATATGGTACAGAACAGTAGGATATAAAACTCTATTTCATTTCATTAGTCCAATAAGATACAGAACAGTAGGATATAAAACTCTATTTCATTTCATTAGTCTAATATGGTACAGAACAGTAGGATATAAAACTCTATTTCATTTCATTAGTCCAATATGGTACAGAACAGTAGGATATAAAACTACGTTTCATTTACAAAACAGTAGGATGTAAACCCTTTTTTCATTTCATTAGTTTTATAGATTAGTAGACCCCATTTACATGGATTGTAAAGAGGCTTTCTGAATTTTTTTTATGTGTAACGGGGACACTGATATATTCAATTTGCGCCATTCCAATTTTCAACCAGACGTCTATGTTGCAATTCCACTCAAACTAAACATTTTATGATGTCACTAATCGCGAAGTCCTTATTATGATATAACATATTTTGCGATCAGTGACGTCATCAAACGCTTAGTTTTAGTGGAATTGCAAGAACCAAGGACTTCTGATTGAAAATTGGAATGGTGCAATTGATGCATTCAGTGTCCGCGAAACACATAAAAATTTTAGAAAACCTCTTTAAAATCCCTTTAATGTCTTTGTAAAGTATATAAAATTTAGGCGTAAAAAACCATGTAATTTAAATACTGTTTATTTTAGATGGGGGATGACGTAGCCAGTAGATGGAACGTGGAAAGTTCTGTTAATGTAACTCCAGATCTAATTTTTGGATTACTCCAGACATGGAAATAGACTATGGATTTTCTTCAGTTTCTCTCGGCAATTTCCATAAAGTTGAATCTTATTAATTTACAAACGGTCTACCGTTAAAGTTCTGCTAGTTCATAGTAATGAATGGTAGTCATTATTTACCGGATATGTATCCAAATTGTCAAGTGATCACGTGATTCTGGTAGTTCAAACATCAGAGTTGGCTCGTTCTTTGTAAGCAAAGACAATGAAAACAAAGAATTCGTAAGATATAAATTTAAACTGATAATAAAATGTATCATTGATGAACCAATAGTCAAAATATAGCATTCAAATCATAAGTAAAATTCCCAAAGGCTCTAAATTTATGGACTTCATTCATGCCACAATATTACAATCACTTGACAAATAATCGTAAAATGTCGGAAATAAAGAGTTTCGCCCAAGAAGACACAGCAAAATGTACAATTCATTACAAAGAGAGATTCGGCTTTACGGAAACTGCCGAGGATTGCCGAATGATAAACTTTTAATTTTTCTAGTTTGGATGCTTAAACTAACAATACTAATCAGATTAACCTTAAATTAAAAAAATCTAAATTAAATATCAAAACCACAAACAAATTGATCACAGTGTCTCTAATGATCTAGAGGCCGGTACAGGGAAATTCTAAATTAAAGGGATTGTAAAGGGGTTTTCTAAATTTTTTATGTGTATTGGGGACACTGACAGCATCAATTTGTACCATTCCAATTTTCAACCAGACGTCTGTGGTTCCTGCAATTCTACTAAAAGTAAGTGTTTGATGACGTCACTAATCGCAAAATATGCTTTAACACATTAGGACTTCGCGATTTGTGACGTCAACAAACATTTAGTTTTAGTGGAATTGCAGGAACCACAGACGTCTGATTGAAAATCGAAAGGTTGCAAATTGACGCTATCAGTGTCCCCAATACAAATAAAAATATTAGAAAACCTATTTATAATCCCTTTAAGCAGTATGATATATCCCTTGTTTAAGATGAATACCATTTCCTTATTATGTGCCTCTAATACAATATCTTGAGAGATACCACCATTTAACAATGAACATTCCTCTTTCATTTTGTCAACTTTTTGATCGACCCATTTGCGATATTTGCTCAAGCTTTTAGTAAATTTTTTTTTTATAAATGTGCGGATTAACTAATTTTGTATTACAATTATGTATTTTATTTGTGTTACTTTATTGCTTTGCTTTTGAATTTATCTTTTACAAAATCTTTCTATAACGGGTAGGGGTGTGGCCCCAAATTACGCTACTGCAATCACCCACTTAAGGGTCTAAACTGTCTTGATGAGGATTATTTATCTGTAACATGTGTCAACAGCATGGAACGAGCCTGAACATGATGAGTTCTTATCAAGTAGCTAACATTAAGTCCTATTTAAGTTAACGTTCATTTCGAAAACTAATTATCCTGACGAAGATTGTGTATCTGAACATTTCTTAGTAAATTTGAAAGTTAACGCCCATTTCCAAACTAGCTGCCCTGGCGAGGATTGTGTATCTGAAACGTGTCGGCGGCATGAGATGTCCTAATATTTAGTCCTATAGTTGAAAGTTAACGCCCATTTTCAAATCTAGATGTCTAGAAATCAGCTGGAAGCTAATGAATTTTTCAACATGAAGTATATAAAGTGAGTAAATATTTCATAATCATAAAGTGGTATCAGGTGTCTAGAAGAGTAAGCATATCCTGCCTAGCGCCAAACCCGACATAGCTGCTTAACATACCGGTACACAACAAACTTGACAAATCGGAGCATTAAAACAATAGTGACTTGACTGATGAGTTTAAAAGTTCAAGGAACGTAACTCATGAAAACATATTTGAGTAATTTTATTTTCAATATTTTATTTCTTCATTTATAACAGAATTTTCTTCTTTACCATTCAGTTCAAAATTACTTCCAATGTCTAAAAAATTCAATTCTTCACCTTTAATTTCAAACTTGTGAAATTCTTTAGCGAATGTCAAAAAGAATGCCGTGGCTATAAAGGCGACAACCCATTCTAGAAATGTAGATATCACGTGCTCTGTATATCCCTGAAATAAATAAGTTAATAGTAATAAATTAAACAAGTACTAACGATTCGAACCGCAACATGAAACCCAAAATCCAAACAACACATTGGGATTGTGTCGATTTGACTCTGATAGCTGTTTTGAAATTTAAGTTGACTGCTCAAACAGATAAACTAGGCCCTGTTTTGTGCCGATTTTCCGCATCTCCGGAGGCTTAGGGATTTTAAACCTATTTATTTTATCGGATGCGCCAAACCTAAATATAATTGGGTAGACTCTAATTCCTGTAATAGAGTTTTGAGTTGCCTCCCTTGCTTAACCAAATTGAGTGGATACTTTTGTCTCTCAATAAATTGGTTGCAGCTTATAAATTTATCATATAAAGAATTCAATCATCATCAATCATAAGTGAGTAAGTATTTCATAGTGAAAAGTGGTACCAGGTGTCTAGAAGACTTAGTATATCTTGCCTGGTGCCACACCCTGAGCACCAGAAGTCCGAAATAACATAGTAATAGTAGAAGCTAAGAGGAAGATAATGCAGACATATAAATCTTAAGATGGCATGTTTTTATAAAAAAAATATGTAGACAACTTGGATCCCTTTGAAATTATTACAGTCTTACCTTTACTCCCGGACCCCATTTTAGAGGATCGTCCGGTTGCAGTTTACTGGCTATTGTGGCAAAAATCAAAACTTTATCTTGTTAAGGATAATAAAACCGATGGTTGAACTCATTCATAAAAAGGTGGGCACAGCTAATAGGTTATGGGTAGGGTTAACTAATTTAAATTCTAAATGTGATGGATCTTGAAATGTACAGCCTGTTGCACACGGGGTCTCAGTTTATCAATCACTTTGAAAGACTAGACGCTTTTCATTAGCCCACATGGTGCGGAAAAGTAGGACGTAAAACTCCATTTCATTTCATTCCGATGTCAGCCACTGCGACAATTTCAATTTAGTAATCTCCATTAAAGGATACAGACCACAATACCAGTGGTATTCAAAATAGTGAGGACAAGTCTAAGTCTGGTTAAACCGAGACTATGTCCTGGCAGTAGACTTGTTTTATAGGACAAAAATGTCTGCAGCCACATGTACACATTACCTACTATAAAAGCCAGAAAGGCTCCGATTAAATGCACTGCTAATACGTTGGTTTCCTGAAAATTATAACAAACGAACAGGCACTATAACTTTGCTATCCATGTTGTATTCAATAAAATTTTAGTTATTTCCCTTTACCCAATATTTAGATTGAGTTATTTCCCTTAGTTATATCTTATATAAAGTTACTTCCCTTATTTCTCAAATCTAATGTCCCAATGTGCTAATGACGTCTATGAATAACAGAGTTCGTTTTTTATAAAAGAGTTTCACGAAGCGGTATTTCCGGCCTTTGGTGACATATTGATATGACTCGACTCGTTTAGTTGAAAACCCCCAAAATACCGAATTGCTTCCGAACGAACAGTTTCCATTTTCTACAGTGAGACATCAACAGAGGGCCGAAAATTCTTCTGGGGTTCTCTTGATTCCGTCTTACGGAAGGAAACTACCGAGGATTGCCGAATGACAGAGCTTCAAGAACCATATTTTTGATCTTTGGGATGAAATATTGCAGCAGAACTGACCTGGAAGTTGGCGACCATGTAGATGCCTAAAGCCGCTGCCCAGCCAGTAATGAATGCCACCTTATTTAATATCAGTAACGCCCGCCTGTTACTGTCACCATAGTGATAATATACTTGTTGATATCGTAGTCGGATTGCTCGAGCAGCTAGAATAAAGGGGTTAAAGGTCGTGAGTTATTAAGACAACCTGCTAGCTAGATAGATTGACACATACCACAGCGAGTGCTTACGGGTCACATCCCTTCTGATCAGAGATCGACGAATTGAAGGATGGAAATTGATAATGATGATGATGGATGCTGGATGTTAATGGATAGATGGAGATTGATGATGGATGATGGCGGGATGACGACGTTCATGATGATGATGATGATGATGATGATGATAATGATTGCTGGATGATGATGGTGATGAATCGACGCTGATGATAATTGTTACTTACTGAGAAGGGCATAAATTCCTAAGAAAAACCCGAAAACACAACTTTCTGGAGCTCGAGTACCTGTATCACTGGAAACAGAAATTAATATCCACAAATTCTTGAAATATTCTATCAAATCAACTAACTAAAGGGCACAATGCTCATCAGTGACTCAGCAAATATGGCCCTTGATACCTAATGCAGAGGGTTAGATTCATTTTAAAAGGATATTTGGATCAGCTAACAGAAGGCCCAATCAATGAGCGAATTGGTGGGGTGGGTGCTTTAATCCTGGATTGGTGTCTTGCATGAAAAGTCACACATTCCATGCAAAAGATGACTTGGAGCTGGTAGGAGTTATCAAGTTCCGGTAGAGGATGGACCCCTTCGTGGTTTTGACTGCTTTATCGTCCAGGTAGGAAACGGAATATCAATGGTTCTTTACCTGATATATGGAAACAAGGCGTGTACGTGATCCAATAAAACAGCTATCGTGTATCTATAAAATAGTCAAAATCATAGATTAAGGAGAGGGTGGGGAACTCATCAGAACTTGACTTGTAACGTCTTATTTCCCGATGTTCAACAATATAAGAAAAATCCTTTAAAAGAGGAAATTTTTTTGGTAGGTATTCTAATCATTTAGAAGACAATTTAAGACTCTAGGTACTATTTTGAAGCTGCTATTTCCATTCACAATAAAAGACATAGTGGTCGAAACCACAGTGGCCGAAGGACAATATTACTCCAGATTCTTGGAAGAACTGGCCGAGACATCAGAATTCTTCTTGCCTTTAAGAGGATTTGATCCCATGACACCTGATCGCCTAAAAGACGACAATCCAAACCGCTACTGTCTGAGTTATTCCACTATTTTTTTTTATAAAATCCAACTTACGATGTGAAACAAGTGATAGGAAAGAAAGCAGTGATCACAATTAAAATATAGTGTCCTCGGTACGTAAAACCCATTTTATATACACTGTTAATACACAGAGATATGTCCCTTGATATAATAAATAATCTGAGTAGTCTCCCTTCACACTCACAACCAGTTATCTCCCTTGACAAGTTCCAGATCGCAGCTTTTGTCCTAGTTTCTTTATTTCTATCCTTTTCTTGAAATGGTGTTTAAATTCAGATAAAATGTAACACGGTTAAAAGGAGTCCTGTCAGCAATTTCTTTCGACCTTTAATTTAAAACAATTAAAAATCCCATCTTTGTTATACAAACTATTGTTTGGAGGGGTTGGGGGTTTCTCTGTAGGCCTATCCCCTCTGACACCGCCACTTATAAAGATCTAAAACTCTAAATTCATATCAAGAGTCCAATAAGATACAGAACAGACTCTGAACAGTAGGACGTACAATATAGCCTAGAACAGTTAGACACAACGTCGCCGAAATAGAGGCATAATAGAGAGCGATAATCGCGGCTATACTCTCGTCTGCTGTGTCATTCTGTTACCGGAAACCTGCGACACAGTGACGACCAAAGAGTTATATGAATCATTAGTAACGACCATCACAGAACTTCTTTAAAATGGGCACTGGAACTAGATCTTTAACATAATAAAACGAAATGAAATAGAGTTTTGCGTTCTAGAAGTGATTTTTTAAATAACATACCTGAAAGTCAAGACTAAATAAAAACAATATTTCGTTCGTTATCTGCCAATATCTCATCGATATCACGAGGGTTGGGTTTATTTTATGGACAGCTAATTAAACCTTAATATTTAGAATCTAAATCAAAAAAGAGATTTGCATCTAATTTAAATCATGAAATTAATGGACATGACACAAAGTGCAGAGTGTGCTCAGGCCCGTAGCCAGACTTGATTGTTCGGGGCACAATAATTTGGTGTTTAGTTGCCGTGACAACATAGGTCAAAATAGGGAAGACGTAAATCCTGATTTTAAAGAAAAACTGTAGTCACTAAAACTAAATATACAATTTATTTCAGACAATTTCTTGCCAAGAAATTCTGAGCCGTTCAGTCAGCCATGTCAGGGAAATACAACCAAATTAACAACCGTAGATTGTCTAATCTAAAGAGGAGGCTAATCACTTCAGTTCTCACATTGCACACTACATGGAGTTTCTCGTTTTTAACACGCAAAAAGTAGCACATAAAATACCAGCCACGTTATATAATATTTGTCAGAATAAGTCGACCATAATTTGGTTTGTTTGGTTGAAAGATAACATTCTCTTATCGCTAAGAAATACTCCGTCTGGTTAATCAAATATTTGTTATCAAACAGTCCTAGTGATTGTAAATAAAATATCAGACTGGTCGAATAAATCCCTTCTTATCAGTGGACAGTAGTGGTAACAATGCCTATTATGAAAACAGCCTCTATTGTGGTAAAAACCCCTATTGTGGTGACAACCCTTATTATGGTAACAGCCACTATTTGTTGTAACAGACTCTATTGTGGTAACAGCCCCTACTGTGGTAACAGCCTCTACTGTGGTAACAAGCTCTATTGTGGTAACAAGCTCTATTGTGGTAACAAGCTCTATTTTGGTAACAACCTCTATTGCAGTAACAAGCTCTATTGTGGTAACATCACCCATATTGTAGTAGAGACCTGTATTGTGGTATCAACCTCTATTGTGGTAACAACATCTATTGTGGTAACAACCTCTATTGTTGTAACAACCCCTATTGTTGTAACAACCTCTATTGTTGTAACAACCTCTATTGTTGTAACAACCTCTATTGTTGTAACAACCCCTATTTTTGTAACAACCTCTAACAAGTGCTTTTATGATACAGTTGTCCCAAATATAATGAAGCCACAATACATGAACAAATAAATGAACAAACGTATTTTGAAAAATCACATTCATTTCTAAGTATGCATAAATGTTTATAATTCAAATGATTTTTTTTACAAATTTTTCCCAAATGGTATTCAATAACAATTTAGTTATAACTCGTAATTGGTCAATCTTTGTAATAAGGTTTCAAATGTTTAATAATTTCTTTAAGTTTGAGATATCACAACTACTGTGATTACAAATTGTATAAAACTCAGCTGCAGCTATAGAGATTTCACACACATAACATTGTCCATTTATCACTTAATTATACAATGTTTGGACAAAAATTCTACCACACTTTAAGCATAAAGCTCAGATTCCATATACGCGTCATGCGGACATAAATGGCCCCTGTTAAACGTATGCGTTATTTTTCTTTTGACGCACGGACTTCTAGACAGATGGATGCTTTGGTGCATAAAAAAGACAGGGAATCCTCACAAAATACGTCACATTTGGGGGATCTCAGCGCGGAGAGGCAACAAAAATTTCTACACCCGGCGATTTTTTTTTGACGCTTGACGGAGACCATTTGATGGATACCGCTTCCGCATATATGGAATCATATCCTCTTAAACCAACCGTTTCGATTTTTAACGCATGACGGATCCGCATGACGCGTATATGAAATCTTAGCTTTAAGCTCTCGAATCCAATTCCAAGACTTTACTTTACTTACTCAGTTATTATTGATATACTTCCTCATGTGAAAAGTTCATTAGCTGCTTCAAATGTATTCCCAATATGTTGTTTTGGATTTCTAGTTTCGTTTTGCAGTTCAAAGTTCGGCATTCGGCATTCAAGGTTCGAAATCAATCTTAATGATGGGTTTCCTTATTTTTTAGTGTCAAATTAAGCAAACTATTTGATTAATTGCTGTTTCTAATGAATCATGTATCCTTAATCATACCATTATGTGCTTATTGCATATAATGAAGAGTTTTAATAAATGAATGTACGTAGTCTGGATAAACAAAAAAATACTTTCTGACCTTTCTTGACCGGTCACTCATTGGAATTCTGCAGGTAATTCTTTTCTAATTTGGCTCATTATGAATTAATTATGGACATGTGAGACAAACTGGTATTTTTCAAAGTCTATTCATATAAGTATTCGCATTTTCATTTTCATAAATGCAATAAGGGAACCCATCTTTAAAGGCTAATTACCATTTAACTAAATTGTGTCTTTCATGACTAATAACACACAAAAAATCAATTAAAAAAAATGGAAAAAATAAAAAATGACAAAAAAAAATGATGTAAAAAGATCACCAAACTGAATTTGTAACTGATTTCTATGTTCACAACCGATCTACAGACAGCACTAATTGTTAAATCATTATGTACAATTTTTATTATAATTTATTTATCTTTATTATTAATTTCTATACACAATTTTCATTGACTATTTTCCTTTATTTAAAAGATAAGGGAGGCAACTTGGGAGAATAAAGTCCCCTTGCAATAATGACCCAAATTTATAAGAAACACAAACTCTTTTATTTAAAAAAAAAATTGTAACAAAAGGATTAATAAAGCTATTCTAATTTAATGTCCCAGTGGTGAAGTCGAGTAACCCTGGAAAATAATAAACTCTTCTCTGGAGAAATGTACTGTGTGTCCTGCTATCGCTTGTAAATATGAGATCGTTTTAAGCAGACACAATATCTGAGTGCTAAGAAAAAAAAAAAAAAATGTGAAAAAGAAAAGATGTAAAAATTTTGATGGAATTCATCTTTAAAATACTGGTATTAAAGATAGGTTTCTTTAATTAAATAAAAATAAGGGAACCCATCTTTAATTAAGGTACTGGTATTAAGTAATTTTCTCCTTTAATACTGATAATCTTCTTTACACAACACTTACTTTTGGACTTAAAATTATTTTAACTTTACATATTCATATTTTGTATTCAGATATGAACTATAAAAATATTTCAATGGATTTTCTGGGAGAATAACCCAGCTGTCAACTTTTATAAATTCATGAAAACAGTAATTATTTCTTACCCTTGTCTCTCAATGGGAATAAAATATTAATTTGGTAATATTATTAAATGAATTACAGTTTTTAGATTAATTTCATAATATTAAGGTAGTAATCATTGTTTTATCAAACTAAATCGATTTTCAATTTTCAAAAGCAGTCAGATTTAAAAATTGTTTTTTTTATCGTATATGGTACAATTGTGCTGTTTGATTATTATATAAATATTTCACAATATAGCAAATCTATCAGAGAACACTCCAACTTAAACAAAATAAAAAAATTAACAAAATAAAATCTGTTGTAAAGCAATTATCTAGAAAATCAATTTTCATAGAAAAAAAAAAATCAATTATTAAGGGGAGATAAATAATGTAAATTTTTTATTTTTACAGAAAAGACTTTTTTTCTATTTTATTAGAAACTGATTATAATATCTATATTTTGGTCTGGTAAAATATTGCAGTATACTAGAATAATATATTGTTATATTAGCAAGACTGAAAATAGTTTCATAGGCAACAAAACATCCCTAATTTTACAAATGAATTCTTCTATACATACATAGTACTGTATCATATGTATCAAAGAATAAATGTGGACTAGTTCATTATGATATTTAGGGACCAATTCTATAAATGGACTCTACTGAACATACATAGCACTGTATCATATAGATTGAAACAATGCACAGAAGGAAGAGTAAAATTCTAAAAGAAGATACCCTCTCCCTTAAAAAAAACCGTAATTTACAAATTAACTCTTCTCAACATACATAGCACTATGATAGATAGAATGTATGTGTGGAATAGTTCAATATTAGATCAAGGGATGTCACCCTGTCACCAGTTAAAGTGAACTCTACTAAACATGCATAGAACTAAATCTATCATACAAATAGAAAGTATTGGAAGCATACATTAAATATATGAGGGTTGTCATCCCTAATTTAACAAATGAGCTCTTCAAATAATGATATAAAGAATGCATATTAGGAATAGTTCACTCAAAGATTAAGGGGTATAAAGAGATGACTATGACACCATTTCCAGAATTGTATAAGTAATTAAAATTAAAATTCCTAACAAAGAATTAAATTATTTTTCTTCGTCGTAATAAAGATGCTGATTATCGATATCATCATCTTCTTCATCATTATCATTATCATTGTCCTCGTCTGAGGGGAGTGGGGTCGACGAACGTGACATAGAGGGGGAGGGGGGACATGAAGCAGGCTTAGGGTACAGGAATTTTTTCTCGGCTGTACTTTGTTCTGCTGCTCGTTCAGGATGAGTTATTGTTACAGCCTGAAGACGAGCTTTACGATAAAACTGAAAGTAGAAAACAATGGCACTTTAATGGTTGAACTTTACGATAAAACTGAAAGTAGAAAAGAATGAGACTTTATTGGTTGAGCTAAAACTGAAAGTAGAAAAGAAGAAATTTTATTGGCTGCATGGTGACATTTTTCCTGACTATCCTATAATGTGCAAGTGGAGAGAGGTCGGTGACAGCAAGAGTGAAAGTGAGTGTCTACTTAACCCTAAAAATTAATCTAGATAAACTGAAAGTAGAAAAGAAAGAATTTTATTGGGTGAAAAATGTTTGAGCTTGTTCTTTAAGGGAAATTGGTCAGTATCACAGGTTTTGACCAAACATTTAGGAGATGGATATTTTAAAAGTGAGCAAGTGGGTATCCCTAGAAAGTGGTTTGCACCCCCAATTGTACCCCCACTTTATTTTCAACAAATCTAAATGTCTACCTTTTTTCTCCAAAATAGATGTCAGAATGTACAAAATCAATTCATTTTTTCTAAAATTTTCTTGAGAGAACACTCTAAGACGCTCTATGAGAGGCTTGCAACTATAACACTACCACAGAGTAGCCAAATTTTAGAAGTTGTCCCCCCATTGAGTGAGTCTGCACCTTAGTCTTGGAAGGCTGGAGGCGCGGCCACTGTATCCGCTTAGTATTTTATTGGTCTTTTTCTCAGGGTAGTTACAAATTGTCCCTATCCTGAAAAAATCAATTGTGTTTTTTCTGGAAGTCATATGGAAGGGAGATAACAAATTCTCTAACCATTTACCATTATCTCCCTTTTTGTTTTCAGAGCAAGTTAATGTTATATGATATCTAATAATACCCTTTGTGTTTAAATAAAGAGCCTACCATAGCTAGATTTTTCCAGTCCAACAATTCACTCAGTCGTTCTGTTCTGTTCCGTTGAATGATTCTTTGTCTTCTGCTCAAACAGGAGAAATCAAACATATACTGAAATAATCAGAATTACAAAATGTGGTATGGCAGTAAACAAACACATTGACACACCCTTTCATTTGTTTAAACACAAAGTAAGTAATTATACATTAAACTAAAAGTAACTATTGAAAAAAACCTTCCATTTTTTAAGCTTTCTCAAAAAGTTCTCTCTAACTACCAACAACTAGCTAGTCTGCTGGAAGTGAACAATAACCTGTCATCTACCAACAACTAGCTAGTCTGCGATATCAGCATCTGCTGGAAGCGAACGTTAACTTGTCATCTACAAACCAACCAACCAACCAACCAAAAAGTTCTATGGATTAATACTTAGTGTATAGATTTATTTGATCATTTTAAGGATTCTAAGAATGGCCACTGGTGAATATATTAAAGTGGAGCTGCATTAATGTGGTTGCCTATAATCAAGAAACCCTGATATCCACAATTCTAAAAGCGGGGTTCTTCACAACACATTGACCCTCTAAAGTACATCACATGACTATCACATGACTATCACATGACTAGCATACATAACAAGGCTCCATACAAGTACTATAATTGAACAAGTTTGAGAATTTAAATTTCATGCATATTTTAATGTATCCAGTCCATATATCTTACAAGGATTATATTTTAAGAGGTAGTAAACTTTAAAAGAAATAATAAAATTCTAACCTGTGCTAGTTGATTGACCGATTCATGAGGTGCCTTATGTCTTCTGTCAATGATATAAATACCGTAAGATTTGGGGTCTGCTATATGATCCTGCATAAAACATCCAAACCCTGATAGATTACTAGTTATACTTGGTATTCCCATCACCGTACATTCAGCTAAAAATAGAACACATAGATCACTGTACATTCAGCTATAAATAGAACACATAGATCACTGTACATTCAGCTATAAATAGAACACATGGATCACTGTACATTCAGCTATAAATAGAACACATGGATCACTGTACATTCAGCTATAAATAGAACACATAGATCACTGTACATTCAGCTATAAATAGAACACATGGATCACTGTACATTCAGCTATAAATAGAACACATAGATCAATGTGCATTCAGCTATAAATAAAACACATAGATCACTGTACATTCAGCTATAAATAGAACACATAGATCACTGTACATTCAGCTATAAATAGAACACATAGATCACTGTACATTCAGCTATAAATAGAACACATAGATCACTGTACATTCAGCTATAAATAGAACACATAGATCACTGTACATTCAGCTATAAATAGAACACATAGATCACTGTACATTCAGCTATAAATAGAACACATAGATCACTGTACATTCAGCTATAAATAGAACACATAGAGTATGATTTTATATACATTTATGGTAAGTCGTTGAATATATTTTTCAAGTGAAATATGTTTCAAAGTGACTGATTTAGATTTGGAAGAAATCTTCCGGGTAGGATGATCTCACTGAGGTTGAGAAGCGCTGACATAGATCACTGTACATTCAGCAATAATTACAACTGAATTTACAATTTGTGAATAATTCAAAAAATTCAAATTCCTTCAACAACTCCAGACGTACCTGGTGTATAGCCCCATGGTTCATAATATGATGGAAACACACCCAAATGACAACCTCGTACAAAATCTTCATATTCCAAACCAAATAGTGGATTGGTCGAATTTAAAAACTCAGGATGAAATATAACCTGCAAATACATACAATTAAAAATTTAAACAAATTAATTCCATGACAGAAAAATCATAAGCAAGAATCCTGAACTTTTAGAGGTTTGAGAACCAGGGCTGTTGATTTATCTGTATTTGCCAGTCATGTCTGAGTGGGACTTCAAAATGACTGACTGCAAATTTGATCTTTAGGACATTTTCTATGCTAATATGCTAGATATTCTGAATTTTTTATGCATTGTCGATGAAAATTAAAACAGGTTGGGAACTTGGAAAATATCATTCTATCTAATCATGAAAATTCATTATCTCAGTCTCAAATATCAGGTTTACCTGCTACAGTGAAACATGATAGAACTATGTCTTTGGATCTGATGAATACAGTTAACACATGAAACTGGAGAGCTCAATGATGGAAATTAAAATAAATAACACATCACTGACCTTGACCCTATCTGAAGGTGCGTTAAATAATTTACATCTCCGTAACGCCTCCAGGCATGGATCTTTCCAATCTTCTGATACATTGTGGGTACAAATCGGAGGTAAGGTCGCTCTCTGAAATTGAAAACATGTCTCAGATCTAATGCTACGTATGTGGATCAATTTAGTATCCCTTTCAGCAAGTTTTCAACCTCATTCTTTCTCTTACCCCTTTCAAGATATTTCACCGATTGCATTACCCTCCCTTTCCCCTAAAAAATCCTACTATTTCGTGACAAGTTATAATTGTCCAAAAGTTTTATGCTAGATTACAAAACGCCTCATTAACCCTCAAAAATTTCAAAAATAACTCCTTAGGTTGATAACCCCACAGTTTGATAACTCCACAGTTTGATAACCCCACAGTTTGATAACCCCACAGTTTGATAACCCTACAGTTTGATAACTCCACAGTTTGATAACCCCACAGTTTGATAACCTTTGATTTAGAAGATAGCCAATGTATTGGATTTTGACTTTCGTTTTGCAGTTCAGATTGTTAGTACTTTTTATAGTTAGGTTTTTATACTTATTTATTATACAATAGATGGTCACAGGACAGGGTCTTGATAATTTTTTAACCAGTCATACCTGAGCCGCAAAAATACAGCGTTTTAATTTGACGATATCTTCTTGTGTTAAAACTTCATCACCGGAGGGTAACTTTCCCCTAAAATATTAAAATATACAGCATGTTCAGAATTAAAACTTTTTATGTGTATCAGGGACACTGGTAGCACCAATTTGCACCA